CATTTCACTGGTCTGCACATAGACTGAAGAAACGTCCTCAGGAAGAGAGTCCATCAAGAGAACTTGATTTGGTTCGTTATGACATGAGAGACTTGAAGAAAGCTCCAAAGCCAGCCCTCTATCTCGGATTATCTGGTCTTGTACCTTTTGTATCCGCTCCTCTACTTATGGCTGTCACAGAGCTGTATCTTCCTGAAGCTGCATTTGCCCAAGTTGCATACGGAGCGTCCATTGTTTCCTTTCTTGGTGGAGTACGCTGGGGTTTCACCTTGCCTGCCGGGAGCCCAGCAAAACCTGACTGGCTCAATTTAGCCAACAGTGTGGTTCCTTCTCTGATTGCCTGGACAGCACTGCTTTTTTGCCATGACATTACACAGTCTGCTGTGCTTGTGATAATGGGGCTTGGGATAGCATTGCATTATGACCTGTCCCTCCTGCCCACATATCCTAGCTGGTTTAAAGCCCTGAGGACCATCCTCACAGTTGTAGCCTTTTTCTCTTTGATGGGCACTATTGTCATTAAGCAGTATTATCCTGAGAAGAAGTATTTCAATGATAAATGAACTGTGCATTTGCATCGTCAATTCATTCATATGAAATAAGTTAAGTGTCATCATTGATAATATTACACCATATTCTACATGTTTGAAGGTGATTCTGGCTATTTTTCAGTTTTAAATTCTGATAACATTTGCTTCCTTTTTTATAAAATTATTTCGTTTCCTGTTATTGGCCATACAGATAAAATAGTTTTTCTCACTTTTAATATGAATTCACAAATACTGTATCAGTTAGATTGTTTGAAGTAAAATACTGCAAAATAAAAACACCACAGTACTAGAAATGTTCAAATGCTGAAATGTTAAAAATCAAATCTGTATTGTGTGGAACAAGTAAACTTTCAGTTCTCAAAATTTCTAATTATTTCTCTGTTGTCTTGTTTATATATATTTTTAGGAAAAACATGAAATCCATATTCTACTCATTTTTAATGCTTTTGCTCATTATTCTACATTACTTGATGGCAATGATTAAACTTCACTTTAAAGCAAGATC